AGCACATGTGTGTGCATGCCCAGAATCCTGAGAGGAGAATGGAGGAGAAAGGATTGCAGTGTGGCCAACTCAGGGCAAGGCGGGTGAGTGATTTCCCACTTTCTGATGTTAGGCCAAATTAGCATATGTTAGGTTGAGTTAGTATAAGCCAATTAGCATAGTTAGCATATGTAGGCTAAGTTAGTTTAACGTCAACACCCTTGCTAGGGCTGCAGGCCAAGTTAGCTTATGTTAGCATATTCATCATATTCACCACCATGACAGAAATTCAAAGATGGGGCACAGGAATTTGCTAATTAACAGGAATTCCCAGATAACAGGAATTCACAAGTTAACAGAGGAAGGGCAGGTTTGGCTAGTGGCACCAGGATGAACAAACCTGAAGGCGCCAGGGAAGATTACCTACCTTAACTGAGAGTTCTTATCTAAATTCAGGCGGGCAATAACAGATAGTTCCTAACTACAAATGGTCCCTCCTTTGTGTGTTGTAAACTATGAAAAACTGCTAATATAATATCCTGTATTGCCTCCTGAGCTATAAAAAGCCCCTCGTTCCTAGCTTCGGAGTCCTTGTTGTAACCCGCTGCATCGGGTATTAACTTGGACCCCAGCTAGCTGGAAAAATAAACACCTCTTATGCAGTTGCATTGTCGTTGCCTCTCTGTGTCACTACTGAATAAATCTATCTTTGAGCCTTACACTGTCTCTCTGTCTCTGTGGCAAGGGCACATGCCCTATAGAAAAAATCTCTCTCTAAAAAGAAAAAGAAAAAGAAACATGTTAGTTTTAACTCTTAATGGAAGAGGAGGAAGGTAGACATTTATGCTGAGTCTGTAGTTTTTATAGATCAAGGTTGAGACCTGATTGAAAATAAGGCTTAGAGGAGCCTGGCTAGAATTTGGTCAAGGAGAGAGAATCTTTTGTCAAATGTATCTGTGATTTGGTTGGCCTGGGGCCAGATTCTGTACCCTGTCTCTACAAATGCAGCTCCGAGTTAGATGGAAGGCTGCTTTCAGATCCCGGCCCTACTGCCTACTAGTTATGTGACCCTGGACAAGTTAGTATTTCCCTCAGAGCCCCACTTTTCCCGTTGGGAAAGTAGCTGTAATAAAACACCCTTCTGGGCTGTTTTGAGGATTAAAGGGAGGGCAGTGCATACATTTCACTTTTGCTGCTGGCAGGCAGGGCTTGAAACTCTCCGTCTGCTATCCATGTAAGGACATCAGGGTCAGCCGTCTGGTCTCTGCAGAGCTGGCTCTCAGTTAATGGTGCACTGGGAAAAGGCAGGGAGGCTTTGAGGTCACTGCCCCCAGGGCACCCAGGTTAGCTTATCTAGAGTGAGAAAGGGGAGCATCTGGAGGAGTCAGTGTTCTGAGGAAAGGGGGACATGAAGTACATCTGGAGATCTATGGGGGAAAGACGTTGGGATAGGCCCTCGCCCCACATCCCCCACACACAGGCACCTACACGTGCACACATTTTTACTTGTGGACGTAACATTGAAAAAACCTCGAGGTTAAACTGTCCCTTGCCTTTTGGGGCCACCAAAAGGATAGGCTGGGATACACTGTGGTGTTCTGTTGAAGATTTGCCCTCCAATTCCTGCAGTAATTTCCCTTTCTATATGACCCTGTAAGGATGATGGTAATGGCAGATCGGTTCCTAGATTACAAACCTGGGCTGGGAACAGAAGTGCTCTTGGAAGAGCCTTTGACTTAGGAAACAGCATGAAAGCCACTAAGTTTCCAGATGGAACCAATGGATACTTAGAGAAGCCCCGGACCCAAGCTTCATTAGCTGCTAGGCCTCAACTCCAAAAGAGACCTGTAAGCTGTAAAGGAAACAGGCAAGGAAGAGTTACCAGGGCAGGTGGTAAGAAACAGGCACTTTGGAATTGCTTTACTGACACCAGCAGAATGGAGTATAGTTGCTAAGGTGACAGAACTGTTTGGCGTGTTTTGTTTCATTTTGTTATTTTTGTTTTTCCTAGAAGACATGTGAGCTCACCAGAGAGAGAAAAAGCACCCCAGATGGGACATGATTGCTCCACGGTCCCTTTACATCTATTCCTCTCTCCCATCAGGATTGTGGGCACACACGCATCTGTACCCAGCGTATGTTTTCAAGTCACTGAAGCCATGATTCAAATCATAGCCAATATGTGAGATCCAGCTCCCTCAATCGCTGTACCATGGGACTGGGCCAAGACAGATTTTCCAAGGCAAGGTTCTTGGATGAAGGTGAACGACCTCAACAATGGTGGTCTGGGTTTTTTTTCTGGGGTAGGTGAGAATGTCTTAGTATAGAATCCTTTGTGTGTATACGCACATGCACTGTAGTGCATATGTGCTTGCCAGAGAGAGAGAGAAAGTGAGAATCTACGACCCCCTCAAGGAGGATTGTCATGCCACAATCCCTTCTCTTCCACTCTCCCCTCAGGATTTTGGGCATGCATGCACATGCACCAAGTGTGTTTTTCAAGCTGCTGGGTCTGGGACTTGAACCGTAAAGTCAGCCATTGTGGGATCTACTTGTCTTAACCACCATGCCACTGCCTAGTCCTAACAATTTATCACCACAGGGATTCATCCTACTGTTGTTTCATAGCCCTCCAAATCCCTTCCATCCATCTCTCTCCCTATGCATTCCCACATCCCTCTCCTCTTGTAAACACTAATATGTTCCTCATTTTTATAACATAATTCTGTCCTTTCACTAGTGTAAGCCATGTGGGAATCCAGGGCCTTAACAACCACACCACCTACTGGCCATAATGGTTACTCCTTTTAATGATCAATAGTATTCCATGATACAGAAGCACCAAGTTTATCGGACTATTTACTCTCTGAAGGGTATTTGAGCTGTATTCAGCTTTTGGCTATTATAAATAAGCTGGTTTGAACATTTAATTGCTTGTTGAATAATTTTTATAGTGTATACTTTAGAACCCTTGTCAGATAATTCTGACATCTAATTCATTTAAGAATTGGACCAGTAGTTAGCGTAACGGCTATGTTGCTGGATTCCCACATACTTGACCACGGTTCGCATCCTGGACCCGGTGGCTTAAAACTCATGCTGGGTGCACGTGCGTGCGTGCCCAAGATCCCGAGAGGAGAATGGAGGAGAAGGGATTGCGGCGTGACCATCTCCTCTGGGGGGTGATTTCTCACTTTCTATCTCTCTGTCTCTCTCTGTCTGTCTGGCGAGTGCATGCGCCCTATAGCAAAAACCTCTCCAAAAAAAAAAAAAAGAAAAAGAGTTAATGTCAGTTGGTTGTCTTCCCGTTCAAGTTTAGACTTGCCTAATTCTTTTTATAAAGAATGATGTTCTATCATGTCCTTCACATTTTGGGTATTATGTTAGGAGAAACTGTGTTCTATTATTATTTTTTAGCAGACAGACCTCTGCTAGGGTTTGGTGCTCAGGTCTTGGCCTACTGCCAGCTTCTGAAGGAAGGATTACCTAGCGAGAGGCGGGTAGAATGAGGAATATCTCCCAGGCCTGGCACCTGTTATGACCTGATTCCCTTTGCTGGTGCCTCCCAGCAACAAAGTGTCTCTGGGTGGGAGAGTGCAATTTTGGGCCCTGAAGAGATGAGTGCTTCCTGGGCCAGGTATTTTGTTGTGACAAAATCCAGGCTTCAGCTGCCCGTTGGCCTCTTGCTATTTTTGCATGAGACTGGAGAGTCTCAGACATGCTAAGAAAGGTTGGGTACTTGTGGCGGGATCTCCTTTGCCAGTGATTCTAGCTGCAAGGTGTCAGTGGGTGTGTGGGTGGTGGGACCTCAGACCTGATACTGCATTACGGTAAGTTGTACAATTATTTCATTACATATCACAATATGATAACAGAAATAAAGTGTACAATAAATGTAACGCTCTTGCATTACTCAAAAACCGTGCCCCCAACATACACCATAGAAAAAGGGTCTTCCACAAAACTGGTCTCTGGTGCCAAAAAGGTTAAAGACTGTTATAGCCAGTTTGAAAAATAGTCTAGTTGTTCCTCAGAAGATTAAGAATTACCACGTGATCCAGCAATTAAGCCACTAGATATATATGAAAAAGAAATGAAAACACTATGTCCACACGAAATTTGTACACGAATGTTCATAGCAGCATTATTAATAATAATCCAGAAGTAGGAACAATTACAAAACTCCATTAACTGACAAGTGGATAAACAATTCTAGCGAGGACAGTTCGAACTCTCTGGGACTCAGGGTGACCTCCACAGCACTTGCAAGAGAGTAACAAGATGGTCTCCATGTTGAGAGTCGACCTATACTGTGGCCCCTTGACTTACTGGGGCTGTAGAAAAGGGCGGCAGCAGGTGGTATAGTGGTAAAGGTACTGGACTCCCACGTGGTCCACCGCGGTTTGAGTCCCAGAATGGGTGTCTTGAAACTCACCCCGAATGTGTGTGCACGTGCCCCAAATCCTGAGAAAATAGAGGAGAAAGGATTGCAGTGTGGTAGTCCCCCCGGGGGCAGGGGAATACTTTCTCAAATTTTATCTATTTCTTTCTCTGGCGGGCAAAAATATCTCTCTAAAAAAGGGGGCGAGGTGTATGGAAGGAAGCTAGTAGAAAAAATCTGGACACACAATAGCTTTTTTTTTGGGGGGGGGGAGAGAGTTTTTTGCTATAGGATGCATGCGCTTGTCAGAAAGAGAGACAGAGGGACAGAAAGCGCTCACACACGCGCCTGGCGATAATACTTCTCATTTGGGGGTCAGGAGACCGTGGCACCAGGAGTCAGTGGACTACATCACTCCCGGGAGGCCAGCCTTTGCAGCCGGGCCACTCCGTGACCCTAACTTTTTCCTACATCCAGGGCTGGATTGGGGCAGGAGGCAAGTTCCTCGGGGATGGGAAGAAGCGTGGGAAGCTTCCGGAGGAGACTAGGCTGAGACTTCGCAGGTAGCTGGAGGGAGCCGGCTGGGCGCGGCTGTCACAAAGCGCCGGAAACACATTTTTTCTCTTCCGGCTAGCGCTCACTTCACAGTCTGAGACCCTACCTAGAATGCTGAGTCGGGGTACAGTCTTGGGGAGATGGAGGGATTGGGTAGGGGTCTGATTTTCCAGTGCCTGCGCTCTCTCGAAATCCTGGAGCGTCCCTCGCCAGGCTTCGAGCGCTTTTCCTGACATCACCGCCCCGCGTGGCGCAGGCGCAGAAAGCTCCGCTCCTGCGAGCAGCAGGGAGGTGTGGCGACCTTCCCGTGCAGTCGAGAAGGAGGGAAGCGGTGTCTACTGAAGACCAAGCTGACTGAAGGTAACCGAGAATTGCGTTTTCCCTTTTGATTCAGTCGGGGAGACCCTCAGAGATACCAGCTTCTCTCCCCAGTTGCAGCCTTTGGGGCTGCGCGGCGGTGAGTGGGGGCGGGGTGTGGGACAACAGCGTTTGCCAGCGCCACTGGCGTGATTGCCAGGCGGCAGTCCACAGGAGAGCAGGCAGGACCTGTTCTCGGCTAAGGCCTGGATGCAGACTTTGATAGACACCCCTAACCTCTGGAAGCAACTTCTTTCTACTCTCTCTGCAAATACAACCGAGGAGTGCTGGCGTGCAGGATGCTTACAGGCATCCCTGTGGTTGATCTAGAAGGTTTTTGCGAATCTGTGCTGGTGGCTGGGGCAGCAATGACTGGCACTGCACCCAGTGAGACTTCAGGAGAAGGGTTACCCTTACTAGGACTCTCCCTGGCTGTGAAACTCTAATCATCACCATCTCTCCTTTTTAACAACCTGCCATTTTGACAGCTTGCAAACAACGGCCAGCTGTAATTTTTTCCCTTGAAATAACCCCCCCCAAAAAAAAAAATTAATACACAGATACAAGTCTGCACAGTGGCCTTTACAAACCTACCAAAGGAATGCCCCTCCCCCCAATGTTGACCATGTGGTTGCTGGGGCCGGGGAATTCCTATTTCCTGAAAAAAATGTTACTTTGTCCCTAACTACCCCTGCCCTGACCTTTCTATCTCAGTTCTCCTACCATTATTAATACAGTGGGAAGGAGATATTGAATGTCTCAGGAAGTAGAGGCTTCAATCTTCTTGAGACAATGAAGGGCCATAGAAGTTAATTTTTCCCTGACTAAAGATAAAAGACTGTAATGAACATTATAATTTAGAAAAACTGGGGCCAGCAGGTGCCATAGTGGTTAAGGTGCTATTCTCCCACATGGCTGACCACGGTTTAAGTCTCAGACCCAGTGGCTTGAAGCTCACACTGGGTGCATGTGTATGTGCACTCAAAATCCTGAGAGGAGAAAGGAAGAAAAGGGATTGCAGTGTGGCCATCCTCCCTGGGAGAGGGGAGGGTGATTTCTCTCTGTGTCTCTGATGAGCACACAAAATTCTCTCCAAATTTTTTTTTTTTTCAGAAAAACTAGGCCAGCCCAGTTAAAGCTGTTGGACCCACATAGCCCACCTCACAGTTTTGTTTTTTGCTATGGAAGTTTTTTGTTTGTTTGTTTGTTTGTTTTGCTATAGGACGTGCACGCTCACCAGAGAGACAGAAAGGGAGAAATCACCTCTCAGAGGTTATGGCAATGCCACAATGCCACAGTCCTTTCTCCTCCATTTTCCTCTTGGGATTTTGTGCATACATAGACAGACACACACATTTACATGCCCAGTGTGACTTTCAAGCCTCCCATTCTGTGACTCGAACCATGGTCTGCCATGTGGGAGTCCAGCAATGTAACTATTATGCCATCTGCTGGTCCTGTACCTCACAGTTTGAGTCTCAGACCGAGTGGTTTGAGAAACACACCCGGCACCTATGAATGAGTGTGTGCCCAAAATCCTGAAAGGAGGGAGAGATAGAGGAGAAGGGATTGTGGCATGACTGCCTCTCATAGTGGGTGCTTTCTCACCTTCTCTTTCTCTCTTTCTTTTTTCCTCAAGTGAGTGCACACAGCCTCTGGCAAAACTTTTTAAAAATAGAGAAACTCAGATATGCCCTATTTGTGAAGATGAGTCTGAAAGCAAACACGTTGAATATCGGAAAATCTCAAAACTCCTTTTGACTGATGAGTACCAATTTTCTCTCATTCAACAACCTTTCCTCAGTTGTTAAACAAAATCAAAACTAGAAAAGGGAGAGGGAGAAAGACATCAATTGGCATTTGTCTTTTCTGAGCTATGCTTTGTTTCAAAGTTGAGTAACAAAACCTCCTGAAATAATCCACTGTCATGAGTGTCCTAATACTTGGTGGTTGATTTTAATGAGGAAGTAACACGGGACTATTTTGGTTTATTTTCCTGTAATAATAAATAGCAAGTAAATGAGTCTTGTGACTTTCTTCTTGACATGTACTATTTTCTGCTCTCCCTCAGTGCCCTTGAGAAGAAGATCGATTCACTGGTTACGTACCAACCATACTTGACGGGGCCTCAGTTGTCAAAGGTGGCACCAAGAGGGTGTCACTGTTAACACAGGAGTGTAACTGTTCCTAGAGCAAATGATGATGGGAGAGTTGAAGGTGGATGTATGCTTGAATCCTCAGATGGGAGCTATGTGGGAGACTAAGTGGTCTGTGAAAGACAGCTCCAGTCAGAGTAAGAAATGCAGCCCACAAATAGAGTGTCTTGGTCCTGAGGGTGCACGCCAGTACTTCCGGAGCTTCCATTATCATGAGGCACTTGGACCACTTGAGGCTGTCAGTCAACTTCAAGAGTTATGCCACCAGTGGCTGAGGCCGGAGATCCACTCGAAAGAGCAGATCTTGGAACTGCTGGTGCTAGAGCAGTTTCTGACCATTCTGCCCCAGGATACCCAGAACTGGGTGCAGAAGCATCATCCACAGAACATCAGACAGGCTGTGGTCCTGGTAGAAGCTTTGCAGAGAAAAACTGGTGGAGCAGATACTGAGGTGAGAACAAATAGGATAAAAGTGGATATATTGGGGGTAGGAGGGTTATCAAGAAATGAAATGGATTAAGTTACTCTTCTATTGTTCCTTTAGGACAGGCAAGATTAGAAATTGCAGACATGCCACAATAAATAGTCCACAGGTTTCAGAGTTCCTGTCTAAGTCTTTCCTGGCCTTAGAAAAAAATAAACACATTTTCCTTCCTTTAGGGCCAGGGTGAGTTGAGAGTGATCAGCCCTGTCTGGCATGGCAAAGGAAATAAGACTTGAATTTTTGGAATCAGAGAATTAAAAGGCAAGAAGGAATTGGGAAAAGAGAAAAGATTAAAAAAAAAAAGAATGAAAGAAAGAAAGAAACAAAAACAGGTCAACACTTATGGAGATCAAAGGATAAAGAAGATACCAAACAGGAATTTAAATTAAACAGCTCTGGGGAGATTATAAGAGAAGAGAAGAAACAGGAGGAAAAAGGAACAAAGAAGGAAAGAACAAAAATGCCAACAGAGAAGTAAAGGGAATGTGAGTGCTGAGGGGTAGTGTTTTCTGTAGTGGAAACACACATTTCTAAACTGGGAGAAAGAGCCTCATGGCCCTCCCTTAGTGCCCTGGCCTTGACCCTGCTAGTGAGTGGGAAATCAAGGTATACCCTTGGGAGATATCAGCACATTTCCTCTCCTCAAGAGCCCACTTTGAAAAATACAGGGCCGAGAACCAGCAGTTAGCATAATGGCTATGTCGCTGGACTCCCACGTAGTCGACCACGGTTTGCATCCGGACCCAATGGCTTAAAACTCACGCTGGGCGCGTGTGCATGCATGCCCAAGATCCCAAGAGGAGAATGGAGGAGAAGGGATTGCGGCGTAACCATCCTCCCGGGGGGTGATTTCTCGCTTTCTGTCTCTCTGTCTCTCTCTGTATGGCGAGAGCACGTGCCCTATAGCGAAAAACCTGTCCAAAAAAAAAAAAAAGAAAGAAAGAAAGAAAGAAAAATACAGGGTCAGGCCTGTTTTTGATGTCTTATTGCATCCAAATCTTCTGCAGTGAGGATGAAGCTCAACCCTTCCCTTCCCCCCCCCCACCTCTATTCTATTCCTTTTAGCCATGAACTTCTTCCCTGAATATGGAAGGATTTGCAAGTCTGGCTATCAGGAAGACCTTTTCTATTCCTTGTCTTTTAGAGAAAACTAGAAGATAGAAATACAGTATGGTGGGATCCAAGCCAAGAAAGCAGGCCAGTGTAGGGGTATAGGCAGCTTACCCAACACTGCTAGTGGCTTGAGTGCAGGCTATGTGCACAGCAGTGGGGCTGCTGGGTTGGGATGCTGGCGGTAGTCATAGTTTTTTCATTTTATACTAATTTTCCCAGATTTGTGTATTTTTCTTTACAAGGACATAGTGGTACAATATCTCTTGAATCTTTTCTTTTTTTTCTTTCTTTAATGTCATATGCTCCCCAGATCCAGACTCTATTCTTGTTTCTCCCTCTACCCCCACCCCAAAAGTAAAGTAAGGTCTGTGCTAATGATGATGGGGATTATTTCTAGGTCACAGCCCATGAGCTGGGAAAGGAGACAGTGCTCTTGGGAGGAACAGCAGTGGCTCCAGGCTTCAAGTGGAAGCCAGCAGAGCCCTGTCCAATGAGTGTGTTCCAAAAAGAATGTTGGAATACATACCGGGTACTACAAGAACAGCTGGGCTGGAGTACTCACAAAGAAACCCAGCCAGTGTATGAAAGAGGTGTGGAGCTTCATATTTAATTCTCTTCTCTTGGGAGCTGTGATAATTATTGGTTCAGCTAGAATGTTATGGTAGTGTCTCAGATGCCTAGTCATGCTAGTAGTCTAATGTGTCCCAGGTGGGGGGACAGTAGGCCAATTGTAGGTGAAGGTGGGGATCAACCTGGGGTACAGAAATATCCAAATCACAGAACCCTGATATTCACACCATAGACTCAGCTCCTTAGATGTTTGAAAGGAGAGAAGAAGATGGAACAGGAACAAGTAGAACCACCTCACCCTTATAAAGTTATAGGAGAACCTGGAATCAGAAATGGAATGTTAGGGGGCCAGCAGATGGTGTGATGGTTACATCACTGGACTCCCACGTAGTTGACTGTGATTTGAGTCCCAGGCCCGGTGGCTTGAAACTCATGCTGGACCCATGTGTTTGTGTGCCCAAAATCCCAGGAGGAGAGGAGAATGCAGAAGGGATTGCAGCATGGCTATCCCCGGTGTGTGCGTGTGTGTGTGTGTGTGTGTGTGTGTGTGTGTAATTTTTCACTTTTTGTCTCTCTGGTGAGCACACACACCTATAGCAAACCTATCTCTCTCTCTCTAAAAAAAGCAATGGTCTGACAAGTGGCAGAATGTGAAGAAAAGTGTGTAAAATAAAAGACTAAAAGACAAGTCTTTCACATCTCTACTGTACACTGGAGGACCCAAGCCCTTCATTTCCAAACACCTCTAATTCTTGCCCTGCTTGGTGAACACTTTATTTAGTGAGAGAAAAAAACTGGACTTCCTTTTCATTTCTCTCATGAAATCTGGGGAAATAGTGAACTGGAGAACAGGTTCTATGAATGGTGGATAGTTGATTTTATTTATACAATAGGATGGAAATTTCTGGGCACCACACACACACTTTTCAAGGTGACCCATCTTCACTGACTGTGTCCTAATAATCTGTATTTCAGAAATCAGCTCAGGATGTAAGAACATTTCTCTGGCTTTTTCACCCACAGTTGTGCATGCTCAACAGATTTTAGCCCTTTCTGAGCAGAGAAACTCCAAAGGCTGGAAGATGGCATCTCAGCTCATCCTGCCCAAGTTACAGGTGAGCTATACTTTCCAGCTTCTTTAGGTAGTCTGAACCTGGCCTTGACTCTGCTTTTCCCTGTTGCCTATGACCTATAGTGCCCAGGAGATGCTCTTAGGCATATTAGTCCCAAATCTTCTCTAGGCAACTATGATTGGCACAGTGGGAATGGGAATTGGGCACCTCTTAGGCTGTTTTCTGATTTTGGCTTCCTACTTTTGCCACCTCACTTTTTCCCCCTAAATCTTGTACTATTAATTTCTTCAGTCTTGCCTACCATGTAACTCAGAGGTGAGTAGTAGGGCAGCTTCTATAGTGGCAGATACCGAATTAAAACCCATTCTCTCCTTTAGAGTTTGTTGACATTTGAAGATGTGGCCGTGTATTTTTCTGAAGAAGAATGGCAAGTATTGACTCCTTCTCAGAAGACTCTCTACAATGACGTAATGCAGGATAATTATGATTCCATTATCTCTCTAGGTAAAGATTCTCATTTCTCTTTGTGTAGAAGTTGAATAATATTTTTGGTCCTTTATTTATGGAAAATGCACTCCTGGGAGAGACTCCCAGTGTTTCAGCAGCTGGTTGTTTTCAATTTGTTGGTATAGGGGAAAGGAAAGACATACTCAGATCACCTGAAAAAGTTTTTATAAACACATGTCTCACTTCTTTATCTTAAATATAATTCTCGATCTGTTATGGCTCCACCTCCATACTGTAAATAGGCTCTTAACGTGTCTTTCTCCTCTCAGTAAACGGACACTAACATTTACCTACTTGCTCAGGTCAAAAACCTTGAGACCCTTTATTCCAGCCTTTCTGCTATACTCCGTTATCAGTCCATCCATCAGCAAGTCCTCTGAGCTCTAGCTTCCAAATATATCCTGAATCCAACTCTGTCTCAGCCTCTTCCACTCTCACTGTCCTGGTCTCAGCCACTGTCATTTCTAACCAAGTCTACTTGGGTAGCACTGGATTCCTATTCTCCACATCATTTTCATCTATCTTCCTTAGTTTAGTTCTTAGATTTCTCCATGTATATTCACCCACACCCACAGTAGAGTATAAGAAGATATTGGATCCAAGATCCTAACTATTTAAACATTTGGAATAAAAAAATGTATGAAAGAGTTGCTTGCTCTTTCTGAAAATAGTCTGGATTAAGATGACAGTCTGAGACCTCAGGTTTTATCCTCAGAGCACTATTGTTGCACCCTAAATTTAAAGTAATCTGTTTTGAGCAAGAGGAATAATCACAGATCTAAGATTCCTGAGTTCAAGGACAGTCTTGAAACATCTCTTACGGGTAAGAATATACATGCAAAGAGGACACATGTTCGTTGGTAGGTATCTTTAGAGGGGCTTAACATATTAAGAGTCTGTACCTGTAATTTTTTTTTCTTTTTTTTTGGAGAGGTTTTTGCTATAGGGCACGTTCGCTCGCCAGACAGACAGAGAGATAAAGAGACAGAAAGCCAGAAATCACCCCCCAGGGGGGATGGCCACGCCGCAATCCCTTCTCCTCCATTCTCCTCTTGGGATCTTGAGCACGCATGCACACGTGCCCAGCGTGAGTTTTAAGCCACCGGGTCCAGGACGCGAACCGCGGTCGACTACATGGGAGTCCAGCGACATAGCCATTACACTAACTGCTGGTCCCGTATACCTGTAATTTTTCTTTTCTTTTTATGGAGAGGTTTTTGCTATCGGGCACGTGTGCTCGCCAGACAGACAGAGAAAGACAGATAGAGACAGAGAGACAGAAGGCAAGAAATCACCCCCCAGGGGGGATGGCCACGCCGCAATCCCTTCTCCTCCATTCTCCTCTTGGGATCTTGAGCACGCATGCACACGTGCCCAGCGTGAGTTTTAAGCCACCGGGTCCAGGACGCGAACCGCGGTCGACTACATGGGAGTCCAGCGACATAGCCATTACGCTAACTGCGGGTCCCATAATTTTTAATGAAAAGTTTTATTAAGATAATTTTAGCTTTACAAACAGATTTCAAATGGAATACAAAGAGAACCCATGGTACACTTTACCCAGCTTCCCACAGTGATAACTTTTGCACAGGTATATGAAATCACAACCATACACTGATACAATTCATTGATCTTATTCAGATTTTCCCAGTTTTATTTGTATTCATTTGTGTGTGTATGTGTGTATAAGTTTATCATGTGTAGATTTGTGTATTTACTATCACAGTCAAAATACTGGACAGTTCTATTTCACAATGATTCATTCCTGGGGCCCTTTCATAACTACATACACTTCCCTCCCACAGCCCACTAGCCCATGTCAATTACTAATCTGTTCTACATTTTTTAAAATTTTCTGTTAGAAAAATGAGATATATATAGAATCATAAAATATGTAACTTTGAGATTAGCTTTTTTTCCATTCAGAATAACACTCTGGAAGTGCATCCAAGTTGTCACATGTATCATTAGTTAGTTCCTTTTTACTGCTGAATAAGTATTCCATAATATTGATATACTATCATTTATTTAAGCATTTACCCACTGAATGATGTCTTTACTGTCTCTAGTTTCTGGCTGTTATGAATAAAGCTGCCACGAACATTCACATACAGGATTTTGTATAGAGATAAATTTTCATTTCTCTGGGATAAATGCCTCAAGGGTGCAATTGCTGATTCATATGGTAATTACATGTTCAAATTTATACGAAGTTGCTGAAGCTCTCCCCATGGCACAGTGGTTAAGCACTGTGTAGAGGGAATAGGATCCTATATGGTAGACTAAAGTTTAAATCCCAGCCCTAACAGCAAGGTGCATGTGCTAGGATTCCAATAGAATAGAGAAAGGGAGGTAGAGGAATTGCAGCATGACCAAGCCCTGTTGGAAGGGTTCTCACTCTCTCACTTTCTGGTGTGCACATGCCTTCTGGCATTAAGAAAAGAAAAAAAAAATACCAACCATTTTCTATAGTGGTTGTGCCATTTTATATTCCCACAGCAGTGTATTAGAGATCTAGTTTTTCTATATCTTTGATAGTATTAAATGTCTATTTATTTCGTTTTTTTTTTAGCCATTCTGATAGGTGTGTAGATAATCTCATTGTGGTTTTGATTTGTATTTCCCTAATGTCTAATGATGATTTATATCTTTTCATGTACTTATTTGCCATCTCTATATCCTCTTCATTGTAATGTCTTTTGCCTCATTTTAATTGGATCACTTGGTTATTTTAGTTTATTTTAAGGTTTATGCCATAGAGTGTGTGCCCTCATTGGAGAGAGACGGAGGGAAGGAAAGTGAGAATCACCCCCCACAGGAGAGGGCCACACCACAATCCTTTGTCCTCCATTCTCCTCAGGATTTTGGGAATGCATGCACATGCACCTAGTGTGATTTTCATCACAGTCTATGATTCAAACCGTGGTTGGCCATGTGGGAGTCCAGCACCTTTACCACCATGCCACCTGTCGGCCCCTATTGAGTTTTAGAAGCTCTTTATGTATTCTAGATTCTAGTGCTTTGATGGATATATGATTAGTAAATAGTTTTTTTTTCCAATTCGTGTATTATTTTTAGAGAGATTTTTGCTATAGGGCAAGTGTGCTTGCCAGAGAGACAGAAAGAGACAGAGAGTGAGAATTCACCCCCAGGGGGGATGGCCATGCCACAATCCCTTCTTCATTCTCCTCTAGGGATTTTGGGCAGACAAGCATATGCACACGGCTGAGTTTTAAGCCACTGGGTTCAGGACTAAAACCGCTGTTGACTAAATGTGAATCCAGTGATATAATCATTATGCCATCTGCTGGTTTTGTGAAGGGGACTTCTTGACCAGCAAAATATCTTCTAGCACTTGTCCTAGCGCTAGAAACATCCTATATGGGGGACCAGCAGTTGGTGTAATGGTGATGTCTCTGGACTCCCATGTAGTCGAACACGGTTCGAGTCCTGGACTCAGGGTCTTAAACTCATACCTGGCACATGTGCTTGCATGCCCAAGATCCCAAGAGGAGAATAGAGGAGAAAGGATTGTGGCATGGCCATCCCCCTAGGAGGATGATTTACTTTCTGTCTCTCTGTCTCTATACATTATTTTTATCCCCATCTCTTGGGCTTCTTTAGAATAAAAGTTGTGTTTGTGTGTGTGTGTGTGTGTGTGTGTGTGTGTGTGTGTGTGTGTTTTATTTGACACAGACCAGTTTTTACTTTCATGGATTTTTTTTTCCTTTATGAGAGAGGTGGGGGGGAAGGGAGGAAAGGAGAGAGATAGAGATCAGTATTTTTGTGTAGTAATCCTCTTACCCTTCTCCCAGTTAGCTAGGATCACAGGCATGTGCTACCCTACCCAGTGTGTTCAGGTTAGCCAAAGAAGAGAATCTATTCTTCCCATGTAGCTTCCAGGCTCCCACACAGGGATGCCAGCTTTGTCCAGTATGATTGTACTTTTTTTTTTTTTTTTGGAGAGGTTTTTGCTATAGGGCACGTGCGCTCTCCAGACAGACAGGACAGAGAGACATAAAGCAAGAAATCACCCCCCAGGGGGTTGGCCATGCCGGAATCCCTTCTCCTCCGTTCTCCTCTCGGGATCTTGGGCATGCATGCACACACACACCCGGTGTGAGTTTAAGCCACCGGGTCCGGGACTTGAACTGCGGTGGACTACGTGGGAGTCCAGCGACATAGCCATTACGCTAACTGCTGGTCCCAAGTAAGACTGTACTTTTGATGTCAGGTCTAGAACTCTGAATAGCCTAGCCCTAGAATTCTAACATTTTCCCCAGTTATTCAGTGTTTTCTCCTAAAAGTTTTATAAGTTGATGCATTACATTTAAGTCCATCATGTGTTTTGAATAAGTGTTACATAAGGTGCGAGATTTAAGTTGAGGTTCTTTTTCTCTTCTTTGCCTCCTCCTTCTTTCTTCTTTCTCCTCCTCCTTCTCTTCATTCTCTCCTTCTTTTTTTTTTTCTTTTTCTTTTTTCCCATAGGGGTCCAATTGCTTTGGCATCAATTATCTAAAGGATTATCCTTCTTCCACTGAATTGCTTTTTGCCTGTATATCTAGTTTGTTTCACTGAGCTATGTTTTTTTTTTTTTTTTGAGAGGTTTTTGCTATAGGGCACATGCGCTTGCCAGAATGACAGAGAGAGACAGAGAGACGGAAAGCGAGAAATCACCCCCCAGGGGGGATGGCCACGCCATAATCCCTTCTCCTCCATTCTCCTCTCGGGATCTTGGGCACACACGCACACACGACCAGCGTGAGTTTAAGCCACCGGGTCCGGGACTTGAACTGTGGTCGGCTACATGGGAGTCCAATGACATAGTCATTACACTAACTGCTGGTCTTTTTTTTTTTTCCATTGAGCTATGTTTATCCCTCTGACAATATTTTTCTGTCTTGGGACCAGCAGTTAGTGTAAT